GATCTATGAAGCTTTACTTTCCGTTATGCCGAGAACTGAAACCAGTCCTACAGCTCATGGAAGGACAGCAGAACACATTTGGTCCTCTGTGGACAAACTCTAGTTAATCAGCAGAAAAATGACCAGCATTCACAAGCACACAAGATATGCACAATTAAAACAATAGTTACAATGGAACGAAGCTGTAAATACTACAGAAATACATGGTGATATGATGAAGAAACATGTTAATATCAAGTGATATTGTTCCAATTATTATCAACTATAATGTGTAAATATGTATCTAGTTCAGTGCAGCTCTCATTCACATCGAGTTATTCTAATACGAGTGCTTTGTGCTTTTCAATCATTCAGCTGGTGGAACCACAGTGTTGCACAGGAGCTTTAATCTGAGCAGAAGAGCTGCTATTGATGCCTCTATGAGCCATAATCATGTCCACCTCCTCCATCAAGTGCTTATAAGTAGCTGCAACATCTGTCAAATATGTGTAAAGAACAGTAACACTGATTAGATACTGTTAAAATAAATGACATTTATGAGCAATTGTTGAGGAATATGGTTAAAATCTCGGTTTTAAAATAGCACTTCATGATCACGGTTTAGAGATTTTGTTGTTGGAGCCAGACGAAATCACTGTGATCTTTTTTTTTTTATCTATTTCAACCTAAGAAATCAGTGATGCATTTATTTCCATTTGCATTTATGTTTCCTTCTTATATTGTGTTATTGTGTTAGGGCTTAAACAATGAATCGGATTAATCGTTAACTGGGTATAGAGACTAAAACATGCCTTTAGCTGACAGAATTACCCACATAGAGCAGTGATTACATGAAAATTCAAAAAATATATAAAAATATATAAACATTGGTCCGACCGTTGGTCAGGTAACTCCTCCTACACTTCGTAGACACTTTTTCTCTTCCGACCCTCGGCCATTTTCAAAGAACCGCGGTGAGAAAGGTGAGCTTTAATGACTGAAACCGTAGCTCACCAGATATACGCCTGAAAGTGCGCAGAAAAAGATGGCTAACGGAACAAGCACGTTAACATATCAATCAGAATGATTGACAGTTAGGAGGACCATTTATTGAAATGATCCACCTGGAAATAAAAGATCATCCTCTATACTAGGGATGCACGATATAATCGGCCCCCTATCGGTATCGGCCTT